AAATAAACTACTTTTTTCTTTTTTGCTTTTTTTTTTTTTTTTTTTTAGCCTAAATTGGAGCCCTCTATATCCATTTCAACCACTTTTAAGTGCACAGTTCAGTGGCACTAAGTATAGTCACAGTTGTGCAGCCATTACCGCCATCCAGCTCTGGAATTTTTTTCATCCTCCCAAACTGAAACTCTGACCCCATTAAATGCTAATTCCCCTCCCTCACCCTGGCCCTACATACATCCTACCTTCCGCCTCTATGCCCTTGACTCCGCTGGCTTCCTCCTGTACTTGGAACCCTACAATGGGGTCTTGGCCTTTTGTGAGGGCTTGTTTCACTTAGCCAATGTCTCCAGAGTCCCAGCTTGTCCTGCAGCTCAGGTGGTCCCTGGTGGGTCTGGCTTTACTCACTGAAGTTACTCACTCTGCAGGTGGCCGTTTCTTTCCAGCCCACAACCCTAGGCCGTGTTTTCTGTGTCATTAGTGGAGCTACAGGTGTCAGCTTTATCACTGCCACCCCTACCTTGGTGGGGATGTCCCCCTTTCTCACCAAGCACACAAGCACCAAGCACTCTTCCTCCTGCTGCACAATAAGGAAAATTGCTGTCGAAGGAGGTGGTGTCTGACTCCTGTTTCGACCTCCAGTATGTCCCAACAAAGGCTCATGGCCTTGGGCAGTGCTGAGGGCGCTGGCCAGCCCTGTTCTGTGCTTATTACCTGCGCTGAGCTCCAAGCCCTAGGGTGGCTCGGTGCTGCCTGTGTGGTTAGCCCTCGGCACCCCTTGAAACCTGGTGAGTGAGGCGCATCCAAGGGCAGTGAGGGGCTGGTTGATGGTTTGCAGCCACATGGGCCCACACCTGCAATGACATGGCACCGGCCTGAGTGCTGTGGCCCTTTTTGTCACCTATAGGTATGCTTGGCCAGTCACTGTGTCTCCCTCTCAGTAAAAGTGTGAGTGTTCTCTGTAATAAACAGGAAATTTCATTCACCTGCAAAAGAAGGGACTTAGCTCTGTTGACTTGAACTTGAGGCGAAGGCCAGTGACTGGATTTGGGGGTGGGGTGGGGCAGGGGGCGGCTCTGGCTGGGGCTCATGGACTAAGGACTGGCAGAGAGTTTGAATATTCTTCCTCCTTTCTCTCCCTTTCCCGAGAGGCCTCTTCATCCAGCAGGAGGAGGGAGTGAGGCCACACTGGGTGGAGTTTGGAGGGTGACCTCAGCTCCCCAGGCGCTGTCCTGACTCCTAGGCCAAAGCCAACACGGCCAAGCACAGCCCATCAGGGTGTCCTGTTCCCAAGAACTGGGTTTTGGCATCGCTGCCTCCCCAGCTGTGTGAATTCTAGTTTCAGCTCGGGCCAGTCTGAGGACGGTTTGAGGAGGGGAGAAATGCGGCCCCTTTTTGCTGAGCGAGGAACCGCTGTTCAGTCCTTGCGTCATCCATTTTTAAGTGCTGATCTGTGTTCTCAGACCCGGCTCATGGTCGTGATAGCCGTGGGCCCCCGGCAGGCCCCACAGGCTCAGCTGGATGGCCCTGGTGGCCCCAGGGCAGCAGGTGACCTCTCCTTGCCCCTGCTTCCTGCCTGCTGGCCCTGGGCCTTCCCCTCTGGTTTTCTCCTGATTTTTTCCTCTCTGGGCGTCCCCTCCTGTGGTTCTGGGAGTTAGGGCGCCTCAGAGACCTTGTACTTTATTTTTATTTATTTATTTATTTTTTTGAGACAGAGTCTCACTTTGTTGCCCAGGCTAGAGTGAGTGCCGTGGCGTCAGCCTAGCTCACAGCAACCTCAAACTCCTGGGCTTAAGCGATCCTGCTGCCTCAGCCTCCCGAGTAGCTGGGACTACAGGCATGCACCACCATGCCCGGCTAATTTTTTCTATATATATTAGTTGGCCAATTAATTTCTTTCTATTTATAGTGGAGACAGGGTCTCGCCCTTGCTCAGGCTGGTTTCAAACTCCTGACCTCGTGCAATCCGCCCCCCTCAGCCTCCCAGAGTGCTAGGATTACAGGCATGAGCCACCGCGCCCGGCCAGAGACCTTGTACTTTAGAACCAGCAGCTGGCACGGGGCTGACCTGGCACATGCTCGCTGCCCTTCCACACCTTCTGGGCACGAGGGATCTGGGCCGTCCACACGAGCCTCTGGGAGGCTGACGGGGCTTCCCTGCCCAGCCCGCAAGGCCCGGCGCCATCCCGTGAAGAGCCTCTGCCCTCGAGGGGCTGTTTCTGTTTCTGAGCAGAGTGCCATGTGTCCCCAGTGTACTGGGGCAGGAAAACCGTTGCAAATCACTGCTCTGGAGAGGCTGCCCATGCTGTGTTGACCAAAGCGGTGGATTTGGGGCTTTCCTTGCGTTTTAGTGACTTTCCTTCAGGACAAAAGCTGGTCTCTGGCCTCAGAGCCGAGCGTGGTGAGGTCCCAGGCCACTCGGCCCGTGTTCCCTCAGCAGGTCTGCGGGGGCTCCGGTGCGTTACCTCAGTCGTCCTGCCTGTAACGCTAAGAGAAGGGCTCGCTGTTTGGGTTTTACAGGTGGAGAAAGCACTGAAGAGTTAGGAGAAGAACTTGAGGTCACAGAGCCAGTGGCCGTTGCTGGGAGTTGAGTGCAGAGCCGTCTTATTTATTTATTTTTTTTATTTATTTTTTTTTTTTTGAGACAGAGTCTCACTTTGTTGTCCAGGCTAGAGTGAGTGCCGTGGCGTCAGCCTAGCTCACAGCAACCTCAAACTCCTGGGCTTGAGTGATCCTTCTGCCTCAGCCTCCCGAGTAGCTGGGACTACAGGCATGTGCCACCATGCCCGGCTAATTTTTTATATATATATCAGTTGGCCAATTAATTTCTTTCTATTTATAGTAGAGACGGGGTCTCGCTCTTGCTCAGGCTGGTTTTGAACTCCTGACCTTGAGCAATCCGCCCGCCTCGGCCTCCCAAGAGCTAGGATTACAGGCGTGAGCCACAGCGCCCGGCCAGAGCCGTCTTATTTAAATGCCCGCGTTCTTTCTGTGTGTCCCAAGTGCGGAGAGAGGCTCAGCATCCTGTGGCTTTAGGCGCATAGATGACTCTGAGGCACACTGGAACCTGGGGGCCTGGCAGTGGGGACATTTGTCTCAGACCCTGCAGGTGGAGGCCGCCTCTCGGGCAGCGCAAACTGTGGACTTGCCTTCAGCCCGGGAGGGCTTCCCAGGCGGGGGCAGCCTGTGCCTCGGCGCTGCCTCCCCAGCTTGGGGTGGCTAATCAGCAGGTTCCTCACCAGGGGGACACTGGGGCTGCCCTCCTCCTGTCACTGCAGTTTGCTCTGGGCCTGGCTGCTACCTTTCCTTGATACGTTGTCCTTTTTTTTTTCTTTGCGCTTCCTGTCCCCTGCAATCTAGAGAATACATATCTAAATCCCCAGTGTTTCCCATAGGGGATGCCAGGAGCAGGCCGTGGGGGCGAGGAGCTAGGTTTTGGCCAGCAGCTGGGCCGTGTCCCAGACTGTTCTCCATAGGAGTGGCTTCTCTGGCTTTTTTCGGGAACTTGACTGCTCTCTGGGAAGTGCCTGGTGGTTATTAAGAGGGCTGGTCTACATTTAGGGTAGCCTGGTACCTGTGGATAGACTGAGCCAGGGACAAAGAAGCTTGCTCAGAATCAGAGGGGCCGTGCACCTCAGGGGCTAGGTCTCAAGCTCCCCACAGATGCTAGGCCACTGTTTCCACAGGGTCTTCCTGCCTCTTCTCAGTATTCCTAAAAGGTGAGGACAAAATTTTCACTTTTTCCGGAAGCAGTGGAAGAAGTAGAAACATTTTGAAGAGCCGTAGTTGTCAAATAGGACACAAATTACACTGCTGTTACAGAGACCCAAAAATCATTGGCTTAAATCTGATATCCAGTAGTTTATGTGAAAAATAATTCCAAGGCTATCCTGAACATGCAGCTTTTATCTCTGAACCCAAAGTGGTTGCTCCAGCTCCTGTTATCACATCTGCATCCCAGTCTTCAGAAGTTGAGAAAACGACAAAGGGCTCATGTACCTTTTCTCGTTTTTTTCTGCTGCAAAGGAAGCTGAGAAATGCAGCCTGAAGCAAGGAGGCCATGAGTCCAGCTGAAATGAGATAGTTCCATTATTAAAGGAGGAATTCCGGTTAGCAGTCTCTGCCACAAAGGACACAGTTCACTTTAGTGGGTGGGCCTTAATTGGGCCCTAATGGGTTGGTGGGAAACAGCATAGAATAGGGTTTAGAACTAGAGTCTGTCTAGCCCACCCGCTTCATTTTCAAAAAGTGTTTAAGACCTAGAAAGGAGAAGTGGTTTGTAGCACTTCCTGCACTTGTTGTAGAGCAGAGGTCAGCAGACTTTTTCTGTAAGGGTCAGATAGTTAATATTTTCAGCCTTGCAGACCTCATGGTTTCTGTCACAATGACTGAACTCTGCTATTATAGACAAAAGCAGCCATAGACAATACAAATGAGCTTGGCTGTGTTTCAGTGAAACTTTATTTACTTAAACAGGTGGTGGGCCAGGTTTGGTCCCTGAGCTGTAGTTTACCAACCCCTATAGCAGTTAATAAATGAGATTCCTGCAAAGTAGGGAGCCTGGGACATAAGCACTGAACAAATACCAACTGCAGTTACTGCTGGTCTGTGTTGTCACTGCTGTCCAAGGGCACATGGCTGGCAGGTGGCACCCCCTGAGTCTGCTCTACCCACCATACTGTGCTGAGCCGTGTTGCTGGGGTCTCCTCACTCTTGTCTTGCCCTAGTACGACCCACCTTAGCCAACTTGGACTTGGCAGCTTCCTTTGCATTAGCATCTGTTTATGCCAGGTGCTATGTGGGTGAGGGTACCACATGGCAGGTACAGAAACAGGGGCGACCTGATGAGCCTGCTTTCAGCGTGCTGTGCTGTGCAGATGAGTGCATTGTGAGAATTTATAAAATGACCTCAGACTGAGAAATACTAGGCCAAGTTAGAAATACAAGAGCCATCAGAGCAGCCAGGCCCCTCGGTGCCTCGAGCTCACCCTTCTCCTCTTCCTCAGGTTACGACTTTGCGGCTGTCCTGGAGTGGTTTGCCGAGCGGGTTGACCGCATCATCCTGCTCTTCGACGCCCACAAGCTGGACATCTCTGATGAGTTCTCGGAAGTCATCAAGGCCCTCAAGAACCACGAGGACAAGATCCGCGTGGTGCTCAACAAGGCCGACCAGATCGAGACGCAGCAGCTGATGCGGGTGTATGGGGCCCTCATGTGGTCCCTGGGGAAGATCATCAACACCCCCGAGGTGGTCAGGGTCTACATCGGCTCCTTCTGGTCCCACCCGCTCCTCATCCCCGACAACCGCAAGCTCTTTGAGGCCGAGGAGCAGGACCTCTTCAAAGACATCCAGTCTCTGCCCCGAAACGCTGCCCTCAGGAAGCTCAATGACCTGATCAAGCGGGCGCGGCTGGCCAAGGTAGACCCAGGGCCGAGGGGAGCAGCCTGTTGCCCGTTGGGACTTGGGGGCTCTAGGACTGGCACCGAGGGCCCCAGGATTGCCCAAGGCCCATCCCAGCCTGCTGCACGGCCACACCTGCCTTGTGCTGTTTCCATGTGTGCAGAAACCAGTCTTCTGTGCGCACCCATGGTGCAGCCTGCCTGTCTGACATCCCTTTCCTGGCCTCCTCTTAACCTGTTCTGTTTGTGGTTTGTGCCCCAAGTACTTAAGGAAGGATTTGAACATACTTACAACATAGAAACAGCAAACAGGAAGTCACCACTGAGGCAAAGGAGGCAGCCCCGGAAATGGAGTGTTTGGGGGACATAGGTCTGAACCTCATGGGCTTCCCTCTTGGGGCTGTTGAGCACTGAAGTGCCACCAGCACAGTGCTGGGTGCTGGGGACACAGCGAGGAGGAATGCAGCCCCCAGCCTAGCACTCCCCAGCCCTCATGGGGAAAACGGGGCATGCACAAAAAATAAGCATTGGTTGTGTGTTGTCCAGGGCGAGCACGGGGCACTGCAGGCGCCGACAGCTGGGCAGCTGTCCCGGTGGGGTAGAGGGGCTGGGAGGCCCCGGGCGGGAGCGGATGTTGAGGCTGGGTTGGAAGCAGCTAGTGAGGAGAAAGGGCACCAGCCAGCCCAGAGAGCACGCAGGGTACTGAAGCCTGGCTTACGGTGGGGTGGCATCCGCCCACGCAGGCCTTGTAAACCTTCCTCACCCCTCAGGGAAGCACAGGCCCTAGGTACCTGCTGAGTCACTCAAGAGTTTGGAATCTCAGTGGCTGGCCGCGTACTCGAGGGAGAGCCCAGGGTGCTGGTGCTAGAAAATGAAGGTTCATGCCACCAGCGGACCCTCCAAACACAGAGGGACAGAATGCGTCCCCTTAGAGCGTCTGACTTTGGATAGCACCACATCATGAGCCAGCCCAGATACGTCACTGTGAGGAATAGTCCCAACTGTGGCTGGGGTTGGCCCTTTGGACGGGAGTATTTGACATGGACTAAACAGCCGGAAATGACCAAGTCCAAACAGTGGCGTTCGGGCAGGGTGTGCAGCTGTGCTTTCAGACTCAGCACAGGGCTCAGGTGTTGAAGGGCGAGACTCTGGCCGCAGCTCCCCTGCCAGGCGGGGTCAGAGCTCGGCTCAGGAGCTGCCCTGTCAGCACTGGCTCTCCAGTGAGAAGCAGCAGAGAACAGGCACTCACCCCTGCCTGTGGAATGCAGAGAAGGACCAGGGCAGACATCGTGTGGGTGCTGAGCCCCCGCAACAGCCTGTGGCCAAGGACGCAGTCCTCCAGGCTCCAGGGAGCCCATGGCCCTGCCTGCGCTGGGTGGGGCAGAGGTGTGGCGGCTCCGCAGTGGCTGGGACAGTGGCCCTTACACCCACTGTCTCGAGCCCAGAGCATCCAGTGGCATCTGGGTGCTGCTTGGCGCAAGGAACTAGCGCTGACCATTTGTCCTGTGCCGTTGCTGTGGCTCCACTTTGTGACCCAAAGTGCCCGTGGCCGGCAGCTTCGCAGCCTGTTGGCCCCACAGTGCAGGTCTGAGCCACCTGCCCTGCTGAGATAGAATCTGCGTGTGACCCGAGCCCCTGGCAATCTGCGCACAGGAGCACGTCAGGTCCTGCTCTGGAGGGTTCAGGGCTGAATGTTTTTCAAGATATCTGACTTCTAGCTGTGGCTCACACCTTGTAATCCTAGCACTCTGGGAGGCCAAGGCGGGCAGATCCTTTGAGCTCAGGAGTTCCGAGACCAGCCTGAGGGAGAGCGAGACCCCATCTCTACTAAAAATAGAAAAAATTAGCCGGGCATGGTGACATACGCCTGTAGCCCCAGCTACTTGGGAAGCTGAGGCAGGAGGATTACTCGAGCCCAGGAGTTTGAGGTTGCTGTGAGCTAGGCTGATGCCACGGCACTCTAGCCCAGGCAGCAGAGTGAGACTCTGTCTCAAAAAAAAAAAAAAAAAGAAGAAGATATCTGACTTCCAGAGCCTCCCTGTGGAGTGGATTCTGAGAAAGGAACCCGTAAGAAAACCCCAGTGACTGAACCCCAGCCTCAAAGGACTAAAGATGTCTTAAGTGGGGGGTATGGCCCTGGCTGAGTCCCACCCAACCTCCTTCAAGGACAGGCAGGACTAAGGGCAGGTAAGGGACCCCGGAGAGGTGGTGTGTGACTGCCTGCCACAGGCATACTGAGTCCCTGCGCCTGGAAACCCTGCCATGTCTCAACTGCTTCCTTTTCCTGGAGTGAGTGGCGCTCTGCCCTGACACTCACTGGTCCGTGCAGGGCAGAGTGGCAGCTGCTGCTCTCTGTGACCTGCCTGTTATGGCATCTCCAGGAGATCCTCGATGGGGGCCAGGGGCCGCAGTCCTTCATGGCTGGATGTCACTTGGCAGGGCCGAGGGATCTGAGGCTGGGCTGCTCTGGAGGGTGCCAGTGTTCCCGCCGCTGTGGGGAACCGAAGGGTGTGCCACCCTTAACTCTGCCTGAGCAAGGTACTGGAGCTTAGATAGCGCTCGAAACTGCTGGGAAAAGCCTTTGTGGGATTTTTCTAATCCTTCGTCATCCCGGAGCTGTCAAGATGATAGAGTGGGGCGTAGCTCAGGTCCGCTGGAGTTATGTGAGCTCTCCACCAGCACCCTGCAGGGATTGGCACGTGCAGCCCTCCCCCCCCCAGCTCTGCAGGTGGGAGGGGCGGCTGGGGGGAGGGGGAGGAGCAAGCCGCCTTGGCAGTCAGGTTTTTTTTTTTTTTTTTTTTTTTTGAGACAGAGTCTCACTTTGTTGTCCAGGCTAGAGTGAGTGCCGTAGTGTCAGCCTAGCTCACAGCAACCTCAATCTCCTGGGCTTGAGTGATCCTTCTGCCTCAGCCTCCCGAGTAGCTGGGACTACAGGCATGCGCCACCATGCCCGGCTAATTTTTTTATATATATATCAGTTGGCCAATTAATTTCTTTCTATTTATAGTAGAGACGGGGTCTCGCTCTTGCTCAGGCTGGTTTTGAACTCCTGACCTTGAGCAGTCCGCCCGCCTCAGCCTCCCAAGAGCTAGGATTACAGGCGTGAGCCACAGCGCCCGGCCGGCAGTCAGGTTTTGATCCTGGCTCTTCCTCGTAGCAGCCAAGCACCCTGGGCAAGGCCTCCCACCTGCCAAGGTTGAAGTCACCCCACCCCTCGGGCCTCGTGGCGCTCAACACACGGCTTTCTCTTGGTTGACACACTCAGTTTTCCTCTTCCTGGACCCTAACGATGTCTTGTGCGGGGCTGTTGTCTGTCTTCCGTTTCCAGTGGGTTTTCCTCTCCTTTCCTCCCCTCCACCCGTGGCAGTGGTGGCGGCGCCCTGTCCACACTGTGTCTGCTCCTGGGCCAGCGGGTCCCACTGGGCAGCAGCCACCTGGAGCTCGATTGCTCGCACTTCCTGTTCCTGAGAGCGGGCAGCGGCAGTGTCCTCGGAGGCTCCCTCAGGCCGAGGGCACATGCCAGGGAAGCACCTGATGTCTGCCCTCCGGTCCCCACAGGTCCATGCCTACATCATCAGCTCCCTCAAGAAGGAGATGCCCAACGTCTTTGGGAAGGAGAGCAAGAAGAAAGAGCTGGTGAGCAACCTGGGAGAGATCTACCAGAAGATCGAACGGGAGCATCAGATCTCGCCTGGGGACTTCCCGAGCCTCCGCAAGATGCAGGTATGTCTGTCCCGAGCGTCCCTGGGGCCATCAGGGAGCCGGGAGGGCCCAGGGCGCTCGCTCTGGAGGGAATCCCAGCTCCATGGGGGAGGGCTGCCCAAAACGGAAGCAGCTGGGTTAATCACCATCACCCCACCCGAATCAGAGTTGACCAGGCAGTGACACTGAGCATGGGAATGTGGTGACTCACCTTGCGTGGGGGGACAGGGCTGGGCTGTGCCAGGCCCTCTGCCGTGACCTGTCAGGTAGTCCTCACCACAGCGCTGTGAGGGAAGTGCTGCCGATGCCTCCTGTTTACAAGTTAGGGAGCCGCGGCCCAGCGGTGTTACCCAAGTTGCTCAAGCTGGGAAGTGGGAGACCAGCTCTTTCTACTTGAGAAGCCCTCACTTGTGCCATCGGCCTGGAGCCTGGGAGGGGCCGTCCTTCCCAGTGCTCGTCTTCGTCCTCCCACCCACAGGAGCTCCTACAGACCCAGGACTTCAGCAAGTTCCAGGCCTTGAAGCCCAAGCTGCTGGACACAGTGGATGACATGCTGGCCAACGACATTGCCCGGCTGATGGTGATGGTGCGCCAGGAGGAGTCCCAGATGCCCTCGCAGGCTGTCAAGGGCGGCGCCTTCGACGGCACCATGAACGGGCCCTTTGGGCACGGCTATGGTGAGGGGGCCGGCGAGGGCATCGATGACGTCGAGTGGGTGGTGGGCAAGGACAAGCCCACCTACGACGAGATCTTCTACACGCTATCCCCCGTCAACGGCAAGATCACGGGCGCCAATGCCAAGAAGGAGATGGTGAAGTCCAAGCTGCCCAACACGGTGCTGGGGAAGATCTGGAAGCTGGCCGACGTGGACAAGGACGGGCTGCTGGACGACGAGGAGTTCGCCCTGGCCAACCACCTCATCAAGGTCAAGCTGGAGGGCCACGAGCTGCCCGCCGACCTGCCCCCACACCTGATCCCACCCTCCAAGCGGAGGCACGAGTGACTGAGTGACCGGCCTCGCCCCAGCCACCCGCCATCTCCACACCACCCAGCAGGCAGAGGCCTGGGAGGCAGAGACTGGGGGGAGGGGAAGGCTCACCATTTCTCAAGGTCCATAAAGACTGAGCGGATGTTTCCTCAGCTCTTGAAAAGGAAAACCGCCATCTTTCTTTTAAGGCTGTCCTGGGCCCGGCGGGGGAGGCAGGGGCGATGCTCAGATGTGAATGATGGAATTTTGTGCACAAGAACTATGGATATTTTTAATATATAACGTTAGAGGCACGTTTTTTCTTGCCTCCTGCTCTGTCTGACAGCCCCACACACACACAGCCTCTGTCCCCTCCTGACCTTCCTCCGCCCTGGCTTTGGCTGGACGGCACGTGCGGTGACTGTGCCCACAGGGGAACTGGCTCGCTCCTTCTGGCAGCTGCCAGGCCAGGGCTGTGTGGACAGGAAGCTGAGGGTTGCTTCAGGGGCAGTGGCTTCCTCCCTCGCCCAGCTCTGCCTCCTCCTGTGTTCTCGGTGAACTGGGTTCTTGTGCCTTCCCCCTCCTGGGCCCCCTGGGCCTGGCTGCTCTTTCCTCCCAGACCATCCAGCCCTACACTCCACCCCAGCCTGCCAGTCACAGAAGCAAGGCCCAGCCACCTTTGTCTCTCTGGGGGGTTTCAGGGAGGGGTGAGAGAATGTCTTCCAGAAAAATATATAAGCTAGTTTTTGTTCTGTAAAGTGACACCTTTCATACTTGACTAAATTTTCCAGCAACTTCCCAGCCACTTGTTCAAAAGCTGTGATTTTTGTTCCCCACATTCCAGCCTGGGGCAACTCCACCCAGGAGCCATTAGATGCTGGGTCCTGGGGAGCACGTCCCTCCAGGGACCCCAGAGTTATGTCCTGGCTGAGCCTGTCCACCTGGAATGTTCTCCCCTCACTGTCCTGGAGCTTTCTCATGTGCCCCTCCCCCACCTTTCAGTGGGTGGTGGATCCTCACGAATGGTTTGGTGAGGGTAAGAGGAAGCCTGAGGCTCAGCCTGGGCCTAGTGTCCAGACAGCAGGGCCCTAGGGAACCACCTTCCATTTTCATGCCCTTCCTTTCCTGCCTTCCTCCTCCCTGGCTGAGCAGAGGAGGGGATGTGACTTAGACGACCTTAGAACGACTGCCCCAGGCTGAGCAATAAGAAATGAGCTGCATGGTGGTCTGAGCCCCTCACTCTGCTTCATCTGGGGAACCGACGCACTCACCAGCCCCTGGATGGCAGTGGGTGGCTGTCGGGCTTGGTGGCGCTGAGGCAGGTGGCGCGGCCCTCATGCTGCACGTCCGGGCTCCTCCAGGCCTGGCAGAGGTAGGGGACCCACAGCCTTCTGATTTCAAGATTGTTTGTTCTTGGCCTGGCGCAGGGGCTCACGCCTATAATCCTAGCACTCTGGGAGGCTGACAGGGGCGGATCGCTCAAGGTCAGGAGTTTGAAACCAGCCTGAGCAAGAGTGAGACCCCCGTCTCTACTAAAAATAGAAAGAAATTAATTGGACAACTAAAAATATATAGAAAAAATTAGCCGGGCATGGTGGCAGGTGTCTGTAGTCCCGGCTACTCTGGAGGCTGAGGCAGAAGGATCGCTTGAGCCCAGGAGTTTGAGGTTGCTGTGAGCCAGGCTGATGCCATGGCATTTGCCCAGGCAACAAAGTGAGACTCTGTCTCAAAAAAAAAAAAAAAAAAGATTGTTCGTTCTTAAGCACCAAAGGAGGCAAGAAAAGCTTCATCTTTCTCTGCTGCACCCCTTTTAATAAAACGATTTGTTCTGTAAAATTTGGATTCAGTCAAAAGGCTGTATTTAACAACCCAGAAGGCCACATGTGGCCTTAAGGCCACAGGTTCCCCACCCCTGCCAGGGGTCCAGGGAGTGGCCTCCCCTCTTGGCCCTAGCCAGCCAGAGTCTCCAGGAACTGGCCTGTTACCTCCCCAGCCCTCCGGCATATGGTTTTAGTGAGGAGGGATGCAGACAGGTCCTCCCCGGGAAGTCGCTGTGTAAGGTGCAGCAGCTTGTTCACACTCGCCTATGGGAAGAAAGTGACTGAAGACTTCTTCCTTGCATTAAAAAGTTTTAATTGTGCTGAAGCTGGCTTCTAGTGCTTTGTCATCTTTTCTGGGGGCAGTAGCGGGGCCCTCCTCCCGAGTGCCTGTGGGGTTGCTGGCAGAGCATTTGGGGGCCAAGATGCCAGCAGGGACAGATTGGCAAGGCCTCCAGGGGGCGCTGTGCAGCAACTGTCGCCTCCTGAGAAGAGGGTGAGGCCTGGACAGGTAGGGAGAGGGGATCCCCAGGGGCTGGGACCCACTTCCTCATGGCAGGTGAGAGCTGGGCAAGAGCGATTTACTTGGGGGTGAAGCGGCTGGGAAGACGTCTGATAACTGAGGACGAGGCTGGCACCCTTCTAGGGTCCTCACGGCGTCTCCTCCAGCCTGGGCTCTGGCTTAGCCAGGGACAGACAAGTGGGCGCCCGTGGGGCCCTCAGCACAGGGAGGGGTCAGTAAATAAGGGGTTCTGGGCTCCAGCGCCAGCCTGGCACCATGCTGGCCCCAAGGGTGGTTTACAGACTGGGAAGCCGGGACTCTGAAGATGGACAGAGCAGACAGGCCAGCCACAAAAGTACAATTAAGGGTGGGGCTGGGCTTCCAGATGATGTCATAGATGGGGAGACTGTACCAGAAAAGGGGAGGGGAACAAGTTGGGAGAGGGGAGACAGGAAAGGGTACAGAATGGGGTGAAGACCGTTCCAGGCAAACTGGCAAAAGCAGGATGTAAACAAGAGCCCGAGGGTTTGCAGGGCTCAGTTGTGTGCTCCAGGGTCACAGGCTTGCCGGGAGTTCTGTCTTTGAGGTTCCAATCGGATGTGTCAGCGTGCCTCCTGCGTGGGGTTCACCTTGTGCTAGATTTTCCAGAGCCCTCATGAGCTGGGGAGGTCTGTTTCCACATTTCACAGCCAAAAGAGCCCAAGTCCTAGGACAGCCAGAGCAGCACCGGTCATGGAAGGAGACCCACCCCAGAGCCCACTCCCCTCCGGCTTCTAATCTATCACATGCTTTATAAAGAAATACATGGTGGTGATCCCCGACCCTACCCACCGCAGACTGCAGCTGCACTTGGCTGAGAAAGCCATGTCAAAGATTAAATGCTGTCACTCCAGCCTGAGTCCTGAGAGCTTGGGACAGCTTCTCAGCTGGCAGGTGTCACCCAAGAGAGGTGGAGCATATTTGGTCAAGCAGTTAGTGCATCAGAGAAAAGAGAACTTGAGAGTGCTCATAGACCGGGAGTCAGGGAAGCTGCCTGCCCTCCTTCCCTGAGCACACTCCCCCAGTGGGGTCTGCAGGTGACAGAGGGGGTTTGAACCCCCAGGGGCTACCCCAGGAAGTGCCTGCTGAGCTGAGGCTTGAGGGCAGGTGTCTGCCCCAGAGCTCAGGGAGGGCCATGACAGAGGCCTGGGAAGGGCCAGGGGCTGTGGACTGAGATGTGGCCACCTACCTGGAGGGCTAGCCCCCAGCCCTCGCCTCCTCCCCAGCTCCCTAGGGGCCTTCTTCTCCTGGGGCAAAGGAGGGGGGTTTCGACCAGTCTCCAGGCTTCTGGAGTAAGAGGCCTTCAGGACAATCTGATCAGAGTTTCCCACCCAGTGGCACCTCAGAGCCCAGAACCCAGTCTTAAGATCCCATTCAGAATAAACATTTTTTCTGCTCCTTAGAAAACAAAGATGTACTGGGAGGCCGAGGGGGGCGGATTGCTCGAGGTCAGGAGTTTGAAACCAGCCTGAGCAAGAGTGAGACCCTGTCTCTACTATAAATAGAAAGAAATTAATTGGCCAACTAACATAGAAAAAATTAGCCGGGCATGGTGGCACATGCCTGTAGTCCCAGCTACTCGGGAGGCTGGGGCAGGAGGATTGCTTGAGCCCAGGAGTTTGAGGTTGCTGTGAACTAGGCTGATGCCATGGCACTCACTCTAGCCTGGGCAACAAAGTGAGACTCTGTCTCAAAAAAAGAGAAAAAAAAAGGAAAACAAAGATGTAACCACAAATGCAACCCAGGGCCCTGTTCTTATCTCAAATAGGCTGCTGGTAGGACATGCAGGACTTGCAGAGCCTGGGTGGGCTGGGGAGGCAGGGAGAGGGGCCTGGAGGATCATGCCAGCATTCCTGCCCATCCCCTTCAGAGCTCAACAGCTCAGGCAGCACGAAGAGGGCAGCCTTGGGCAGACAGCCCCAAGTTCAAATCCCAGCTCTGCCACTTGTGGGGGGCCAGCCAGTCCCCTCCCCTCCTGCGCCTGTTTCCTCAGGCCCTACAGGCAGGAGCAGCCACACTTCACAGAGCCCCAGGAGGCCCACCTTGGTGGCCTCCTTGGCTGAGCACCCCAGGGAGGTTAGTTGGGGTGGTGGTAAGGGTGGGGTGCAGGGAGCACGGTGCCCCACCCAGCACCCAGAACAAAGCAAGCGGGACCCACCCTTCCCTGAAGCAGCTTGCAGACCCAGTGGCGCCTGAGGGCTAGGGGGGTGGTGGCCAAGGGGACCCAGGCCTGGCTTCCTGTGCACCTAGAGGGACGGATAATTGTAAAACCACATGCGGCTGCAGCACTGTGGAGCGTAGGAGCCCCTATGGCTTGTTGGAGCAGCGCAGGGAAGGTTTTTGGAAGAAAAACCAGGATGATGAAACCACCATATGTCCACCCATTTGGAGCTTTGGACTTTTCAAAGGACACTCCCGTGGTGGGCCGGGTGGGTGGGGCGGGGTGGGGGGGCTTCTCAACCCCCACCATCTCCATCAGCCCCTCCCTGAGCCCCCAACAGTCACACATTTAAATAAAACTGGGGGCCTGAGCAGCAAAGGAAGGGTTACTGAGCTCTTCCACCTCCAACCACATGGCTGCCCGTGCTCCTTCTAGGGAGAAAAATGTTAGGATGGCCATTGGTGGCCACACTGGGTACCTCATTTATCCCTCACACCTGAGCAGGTGCAGTTCTCCATTGTACACAAAAACACAGTATCCAAACAGGAAGGGACTTGCACAAGGCCACATGCCCAGTCAGCAGGGACAGGGCTGTATGACCACACAGCCAGCCTCTCATTCCCTGACCCCTGGGTGGAGGTGGGACACTACACTCTGTTTCCCGAGTGGCTAAGGGCAGTGGCTGCCATTCTACTCAGCCCTGCGGGACCATCTGCTGGGAGCTGCATTCTGAGGTGGGGCTGGGTGACTCATCCCAGGCCACCTGCTGGAGGCTGACTCCCAGGGCCTTGGGGGAAGGGGGCGCCACAGCCATGAGCCTATCATGTGGCTGCCATGCTACAGACCCCCGGAGCCTACCTTGTGTCTGAGCTGCCTCCTGTAGCCAGAGGGCTATGCTTTTGGGGTCGGGAACATGGGTCCCCTGCCAGTCACTTGTGCTCCCCTCTCTGGGCTTCTCGTTGCCTCTGAACCTTCTCTTTCTGTGAGGTCTGGGTCGCTGAATTGACACTTTCCTTTTCTGCATCCAAGCCCCTTTGCAGAAGCCTACAGCAAGCCTCCTGCAGTCTGGCCTTTCCCTGCCCCTGTCCCTAGCATCTAGGCGCCACCACATGGCTCCCTTCTGCTGCCAGGCACTGACCTAGCCCCAGAACCTGGGACTGAGGCAGGCTCTGGACCAAGGGAAGGAGCTCAAGGCTGGCATCATCCAGTCTCTGCAGCTCAGTGAATTAATCTGCGAAAGGAAGGTAATGACAACTCTCTCCTAGCAGGGCTCTTGTGAAGATAACAGATCTGAAGTCACTTTGAAATGCCAAGGTGTCCCATGGGAATGCACAGTGCTATCAGTGTGATTTATTCCCCCAGGGCTGGGCAGACCTGTTGCCAGAGGGGTTGGGGGTGAGGTGAAAGGCTGTGGAGGTAGCAGGGCCCTCCTGCACTGGGCGCAGTGGCCTGACCGCCCAGATGGGCTGGGCCAAGGCTCTGGGGAGAGAGGTTCATCTCACTGGACTTGCTCTTCCCTGGAGTCCCTCCGAGAGGGGCCACCATGTGCAGGGCTCCGTAGGGAGCAAGGCAAGGTTTCTGTGGCCCTTGGGGTTCTGGCTAACATGGGATCAGAAAACAGATCTGCTGGGGCCAAGCGGCAGTGTCCTCGAGCTGCTTCTGTCAGGGCTGGAGGCCTGAGACTGAGCAGGGGGCCCGACCCCCTTTTATAGACAAGGAAACTGAAGCCTGCAAAAGAGATGTGACAAAAACTAATAAAGTGCAAGAGAGGCAGGGAGGGCTACATTCGGTCCCAGCTCTGCCCCACGCAGCCCCTGGCCTGGAGACTCCGTTATTGCTGTCTGAGACTCAGTTTCCGCTACGCTGTACCGTGTGGGGATGGCGTCTGGTGCATGGGAGGATGGACTTTTCTGAGAACTCAGCATTCAGAGAGGTTAAGAGACTCACCAGCGGTCACACAGGGAATGAGCCAGCACCCAGAGGCCTCACAAGTTGGCCCCGACAGCAGACCCCTGGGGCCGCGTTAGGGTGGGGTTGGAGGATCCGGGTGTCCACGAGCAGCAGAGGAGAGGCCCATCTTCCACCCAGGCCCCCTCACCTGTTCTCCAGGTGGGAACTTCATTCCGGCCACAGCGCCTGCCCCGCCTCTGGTCTCTGGCGCCCCCCTGTGGCCTCAGGGAGCAGGTGCCTCTCACCTCCTGGGGGCCCCAACCCCGTTCCGCCTGTAGGAGGGCCCAGAATCCCTCCGAGGGACAGGGGAGCTCCGTCAAACCAGAGGAACTCCTGCCCCTCCCCATGCCAGGAGACCCGAAGGCAGTGACTGGGATCCCCAGATTTGGGTTTGAATCTTGGCTCCCCGTCCCGGCCCGACTTGGGTAACACATGCGGACTATGTTTCCCCAAATATTTCTCAGATTGTGGGCCCTGCGAAGCCTCAGGGCAGAGTCCCTGAGATCACAGGGGAGACCCCTGACGTGGAGGAGCACCCTGCTTGCTGCCAGGGGGTGCTCAGTTCAGCTCTACAAACACAGAGCTCCTCCTCCCCCAAGGCGGGGAGCCTCGCCCTGTCCCTTCACAAGGAGGCCCCAGTCTGAGGGGAGGCAAACCCTTGAACAGATCTTTTAAAGAAAGAATGTGTTGTCTAAAGCCACTAAAATGCCCCACCCTTTATCTCTCGTCTTGGACAGACCCAAAGTCCCCTGGCATCTGGTCCAGCCCAGCTGGCTACAGCTGGGCAGAAATCAGAAACACCACCAGAGTCAGCCCCTCCCCTCCCGCCGGTCTCCGGCAGCCCCTAGGGACCTCTTCTTGCCCTTCACTTTCCAGGCTGAGACTCAGGCCCAGCCCAGCGCCACCGCAGGGGTCTAGCTTCGGACCCTCCTCATCCTCAGTCCCTCAATTCACCTCATCTTTCCCAAGCCTCAGTGTGACCATCTGCCAAATGGGTGTGATCATCCCTACCTCACCTTCCTGCCTCCTGGGGCAGCTCTAACGACACAATTAAAGTGAGATCAGAAACTTTGGGGGCGTGTTGGGGGGTGCCAAGCGCGGGCAAACCTGGGAGAGAGCGAACTACAACTCCCATCCGGCTCCGGGGCCGCGGGCGTCCCCAGCCCCTCTCCCTGACCCAGCAGAGAGACGGCCACTGCCCAGGGGCGAGGGAAGTTGTGCTCCGGGCCTTTCTCACCTGGGTTAGGGCCGGGCGAGGGCCCAGGTAGAGCTGGGCCTGGGGCCCCGCAGGAATCTAGGCGGTCTTTCGGACCCCGGGGGACCCACCCCCACCCCCACCCCGCCCAGGAGTTACTCTCCGAGGCCCGCCCCCCCACTTCCTGGCCGGAGTTGGTCCCACCCCCGCGCGCCTCCGCCCTCCCACCTTCACCTTCAGCCGCGGCTCCCATTGGCCGGGGCGCACCTGCCCGTCCGTCGGGGGGCGGGGCGCGGCGCCCAGGTGAGGGCGCGCAGGCTGCGGCGGAGGAAGGTGACAGCGGGGAGGGCGGGAGGGTGGG